GCTAGGTGGTTGGTTGGGTGGATGTATGGGTGGGTGGATAGATGGATGGATGGATAGGCGGATGGATGGTCGGACAGACCGGTGTGTGGGGGGATGGATGGATGGATGGTTGGACGGAAGGATAGATAGACGGATGGGTATAAATCTTACCATTCATAGGTTTTTAAAAAAATATAAAAAATAAGAAACAGCGATTAAAACAACTTCTGACTTGAATTGCTGTAATTCTCTTTAAGGAGTGAAATTACTTTATTTATTTCTTCTGATTGAGCTTCGAAATCTGTATTCCTTAGGTTATTTCTTTTCATTTACTAATAATTATTTTTTTAAATCAAGATAATCGTCTATTTCTTTACGATTAATACACCAAAAAATGTTCTAACATGAAGCTATAAAAGTTGTATATTTTGAAACCAAATTGTGTACGTTACAATTAAATTTTTTTCACCATTATTAAAAAAAATGATAAAAAATAACAAATAATTACTTTAAGTTATATTTCGCATGCAATTATTATCTCTGGATAAACGAACTTTCTATTGTGTGCAAAAGTTTTTCAATTCTGTTAAAAAGTTTTCGGGGTGCAGCGAAAGGCGCAAAATGTAAAATTGACATTAAGGGGCCCAAACTTTGAAGTGATCTCCTGGCGAAACTATTAGGACCTATTTCCCAGATTGCTTCTACCTCCTTCATTTTGGGGTTTTTAAGATTATAAGTGTAATCAGAAATCAGAATCCTTTGAAAAAAAGGTATGTTTATTCAGAGAAAGTACGTTTTTGTGTTTTATTTCGTACCTTAAAATATAGTCTGCACTTTTTATTTAGCATATTTTGATTATTTTAATTTGCATTATATATGTTAATTAGCCATTGTGAGATAATTCAAATATTTGCAACTGGGTGTATTATTTCAAGAATATAATTGTGTATTAGTTTGCAATATGAATGCTGCTGTAATTCTAAACTATTTTTGTCCAGGTATGAGGTTTAAGAATACTTGGATAAGACATCTGAATAGCTGATAAGCGATCGCGGGTCGCAGAGCAATCGGAAAGAAACTGCAAAATCAATTTAGGGGTTCGGGAGTGATTGAAAGGAGAGGAAAGGATCTTCCTAATTTAAATAAATTTAGCAAAGTTTACTGTTATGATATATATTAAAATACTGACCTCAAATTTATTTGGCGTTTGGGATTTTTACTGCGTGTGCTTTTTCATAAAGTAGAGGATAAATGAGTGTTAAAGGGATTGCATGACTACGTCCTTTTTATGGATATAGGCTCAATACCATAAAAATTCATATTCCAAGAAAGAGTTTTCAGAATGAAAAGAAATTTTACATACGTAAGTACAATGTTTACATTAGTAAGTGATTTAAAAAATCAAAGCAAAAAGATCATTTTGCCGGAAACAAAACGAATGAACGTCTGTTTTAATATTCTGTGGGGCCATTCCTAGCGTGAATTTTCAATGCGATATGGTCGGACTTTGAGGCATAAAAGATCTTTATAATGCATCTCGTTACACAGTTGCTCTAATTTGACTAACCTTGGAGGCTGTTCATCTTGCCGTCCCAAGTGATCTCAGATATATGCTCAATTGGTGACAAATCTGAGAAACAAAGAAGTCAAGGAAGAATGGTAATGTGACGGAAACAGGGTTTCTTTTGGTTTCAGTTCAATCCTGTCAATCGTGACACAACTCCAAACTGAAGAGACGGTGGTTGGCAATAGTAGCACTCGCAATAGGTGACGTGATAGCAATGTTCCTCAGCCAGATACTTAGTATGGTACGAACCGATAGATTGGCCCGCAGTGAAGGTGCTGTCTGTGTCCGAATGGCGGACAATAAGATAGTTGGCTGCATGCGTGCGTGTCGTATTATGTGACTGTCTTCTCGACTATTGGTCTATCAACCTCTCTTTTTTCTTCTGGTCCGATCACCATCTCACGGTAGAACCAAAACTACCTAGGTGGTGGCTAAGCTGATTGAGTATAGCATAATGTCACCACATGGAGTTGAAATTCATTCTTCTTGGAGTATAAAACACAGATAAACAGAATTTGTTTGAGTGTACCTAAGCGATTGTAAAGGGACACTTTTTTGAATAGATTAATTTTGGCTCAATGAAAAAATTTAGGTTTACTGAAGCCAAATGGTCACTTCAGCCAGTAGTCGGCAACTAGTTCTACTGTGAAGATATGTTGAGCCCAGTAGACAAGAGAGAAGACTTTCACTCGGTGACCAGCCTCAGAACGTATTTGATGGACCAATAGTCAACAAGATCGTCACATCATACAACATTCCTGCACAGAGCCTACTATCTCAGTTTCAGCCCCCCGGAGGACAAAGGCAGCTCCTTCACTTCGGGCTCTCTGTGAGGGTAAGGAGTTGCAAGTCAACCTGAAGCTGAGTAAATTAAGTTTAAACTATCATAAGTTTAAACTGACTTGAGTAAAATGAGTTTAAACTACCTATCTAATATCTTCTTTGTTTAACTTCAAGTTTTATTATTTATTTACATAGTTTTTTTAAATTTTGTCTTAGATTTTCATTTAGTCACAATGTTTTAAGTATGTAACAACTTCTTCAAGCAAAAAAAAAACGTTTTTAAGCATGATTTGCTTGAGAACCAAAATTAAAAATAATTAAATCAAAAAATCCACAAAACGCGTGTTGTATTAGAACAAATAACGATCCACAGATTAAGATTCTGATTTAGTAGGAATAAAATTTAAATCTAATAATTTTTGTTAGTTATATTGTAACTTCTTTCATTTTCTTTTAAAAATTCCTTTTAGTGTTTTGTTACTAAAAGTGTAAATGTCTTTGATAAGTGTTTTTTTCCAAATATTTTTAGAAATAGAGCGAAAAGTTAATTCCCAACATTTATTTATAATTTTTATTTTCTTTTATTTGATAATATTAGTTTACTGGATATAAAAGTAAATGGAGCTTAATTACCGTATGATAGTTGTAAAGCAATAATTAATATGTTTATTATAAAATTTTGCCTAATAAGATTGGTCATTTACTTATAATTGGTAATTTTATAGTAAAGGAACATAACTTAGAGTTCTAAGCCTTTAGTTTTGAATTATAATTAATATTAAAAGCATATTAATAGTAGAGAAGGATAAAAAGAATGCATAATAATTATGTAACATTAATAAAGGAACATCACATAGCGTTCTATGCCTTTATTTTTGAATAATAATTAATATACATCAAAAAAAAAAAAACGAATGAAGAAAAAATATGAATATCCTGGTAATAGTAGAGAAGGATAAAAAGAAAGGATAACAAATATAATATATGCACCAAATATATCTGGATCTTTTTACTGTTTATTAATGGTTCTAGCATGAGATTTTTCTGTTCAATGAGAATGCTCGACAGAAAGATGTCAATCATCTTTTCATGATGAATAGAGAAATTTAACAAAAAAATGAGACTTGAGAATGACTTGAATAAAAATTTTAAAAATAATGATAATTAGAGTCTCAATTAGTACAATCATGATTATAATTATAATCATGATTGAATTATAATTAATAGCATGAGATTTATGATTTATCATGAGATTTATATCATGAGATTAGTATCATAAGATTGAATTATAATTATTATCATGAGATTGAATTATTGTTAATATCATGAGATTTAAATTATAATTAATATCAAAATCCTGATAATAGTAGGAAAGGATGAAAAGAAAGGATAACAAATATAATATATGTACCAAATATATTTGGATCTTCTTACTGTTTATTAATGGCTCTATCATGAGATTTTTCTGTTCAATGAGAATGCTCGACAGAAAGATGTCAATCATCTTTTCATGATGAATGGAGAAATTTAACAAAAAAAGAGACTTGAGTAAAAATTGCAATAATAATGATAATTAGAGTCTCAATTAATACAATCATGATTGTAATTATAATAATGATTGAATTATAATTAATAGCATGGGATTTATGATTTATCATGAGATTTATATCAAGAGATTAATATCATAAGATTGAATTATAATTATTATCATGAGATCGAATTATGATTAATATCATGAGATTTGAATTGTGATTAATAAGAAAATCCTGGTAATAGTAGGAAAGGATGAAGAGAAAGGATAACAAATATAATATATGTACCAAATATATCTGGATCTTCTTACTGTTTATTATTGGTTTTACCAAGAGATTTTTCTGTTCAATGAGAATGCTCGACAGAAAGATGCCAATCATGACTTGAGAAAAAATTGTAATGAATTGAGAATGACTTGAGAAAAAATTGTAATAATAATGATAATTAGAGTCTCAATTAATACAATCATGATTATAATTATAATCATGATTGAATTATAATTTTTAGCATGAGATTCATAATTTATCATGAGATTTATATCATGAGATCAATATCATAAGGTTGAATTATAATTATTATCATGAGATCAAATTATGATTAATATCATAAGATTTGAATTATAATTAATATCAAAATCCTGGTAATAGTAGGAAAGGATGAAAAGAAAGGATAACAAATGTAATATATGTACCAAATATATCTGGATCCTCTTACTGTTTATTACTGGTTCTACAATGAGATTTTTCTGTTCAATGAGAATGTTCGACAGAAAGATGCCAATGATCTTTTCACGATGAATAGAGAAATTAATAAAAAAATTGGGACTTGAGAATGACTTGAGTAAAAATTGTAATAATAATGATAATTAGAGTCTCAATTAATNTTATCAATTGGGTAGAATATAAGTTAAATCGGATAACAATTTATACTTTTGTTGAGTCAATAGAAGATGTCAAGGAATAAAGGAGTTATCAGAAGAAAAGATTAATAAAAAACATTACATAATATAAAAATAGATTATTACAAACAATGTCAATAAATTGGCATGGAAACACATAACGTATTAACACTTTTAGAATAAAATCTAACTTTTATTTGCTTATCTGCAGATGTTATAATCCGATTTTTAGCTACTATATAAAGAACATGAGACTTAAAACCGTCCTCTTACAACTTCACTCAGAACCCAAAACCAAACAAAATGAAATTAATATCTTATGTCGTCGTTGCATTGTGTGTCATTGTTGCTGGTAAGTTCCTTTAAATAGAAAAAAAAATTGAATGAAATTTTGTCTATCTATCTACCTAATTGGTTTTTTGACTCTGAATTAGTTTTTGGTATATGCAGATGCTAAAAATGATGATGAATTATGGTTTTCGCTGAAATGAAAATGTAAAAGAATAACAGTAAATGTTGGAAATATTTATCAAGAAATATTGAATTGAAAAGTTCTACGAAAAAAATTAAATTGAAAAGTTCGATAAGAAATACTATAGAATATTTTTTGTAAATTTCATCTTTTTTATAACTTATTCAATTAATAAAATGTTCCATTTTAATTAGAATAAGCATATTTTTTTTAAACTTTGCAATTTATTCTCACGAACATTTTAATTAAATATTTTTTAAAACTATCTGAATCAATATTAAATAAATAAGGAATTATTGATTTGATAAAAAAACAGTCACAGTTTTGAAACTCCCACTCTGGTTAAAAAAAAGGCCTAACTCTATGACCAGAACCTCTATAACTTTTCCACGGAGCCCCAAGCTTCCGCGGAACACCTTTTGGGAACCACTGCTTTATTATACACTCTGTCTTAAAGCAAGTTCCTGAGGTTTGTTCAGCTGCAAGACTCTTATCGAATATAAATTTTTCGATATCTCTGAATCTAAGTAAACACCAAAGTTGTAACAATGATCAAGATTTATAGCATAAAAAAATAGAAACAATCTTTGGCAAACGAAAGTAAAGTTGCAGGTAACTCTTACAAAAAAATAATATGCTTTTGTGGTTGAGAGGTATAAAATGAGGTTATGTTTCGCCCCACAAATAACTTAATCAATAAACCTTTAAATTTAAATTCATTTATATCTTATACCTCATAATACCAATCTATCAGCAACAATTTTATTTGAAATCGCGTGAAATTATTCACGTCACAAAAATCGCTATTTGTTTGAAGTGTGGAAAAAATAACAAGTATACCTAAAACACCTGTCTAAGCTTATTACTGTTATTTCTATCAACTTTAAAACAACCTCAAATACGAATGAAACAACTTTATACGCCTTTAATTATAAATCTCGGGAAGTTGCATTTTGAAGTCACCTTCAAACAAATCTTAAGTCAGCTTTAACGCCTTAAAACAACTTTAAACCTTAATTTTAAATAATCACTCACTGAACACATTGATTAACTCCAGTTTTAAAATAATATTGAATTTAAGTGCTAAAGCACTTGACGTAATTATATTTTTTTATGTTTGTAATAAATGTAAAAAATGATAAAGAGTAATGCCATTAAACGACAGTTTTTATTCCATCACAGAATACTTGATAAATATTTTCATTGTCATTTTCATTATCTTGTGCTTGAATATAGTTAATAAAAATACGCAGTTGATAGCACGCAACCTTATTTTCTCACTAAATCACAGTTGGTTCTAAAAAAAAAACTAAATAACTACCAGTTTAATCGGAGATTATAATCTAAGATGACATTATTTAATTTAAGTCTTGCTTTTATTTTAAAATATTTATGAAGAATACATTACGCAATGTCAAAAGGAAGAACATTTGTGAAAGAAAAATATTTCAGTGTATTATATTCTGAAAATTTAAGTGATATTTTAAACATCTATCTAAGCTCTCATTCCAAGTTTGTGATTCTTTACCAGTAAAAATTCAAGAAAATTCACCTGGTTAAAATCGTTAAGTAAAATCATTTAGAAAGCTGAATTGTATAGTGGTCATATAACTGTGGCAACAATCGATAATATTTTGGGGTTTATTTTCTTACTTTGAAAAGGCTTTTACTTTGAATGCCTATGGTCTTTCCAATACGAAACACATCCATAGTTTATTATGAGCGAAATGTACGATCATAATTTATCTTATTAAGATATAAATTTTTTTTTTATCAAAACATAAACCACGTGTTTGCTTATCGAGTAACTAACGTAAGTCTCAAGAGATTACTTCATGCTCAATAAAGTACAAACAGAATTAGGAAAAATATTTGAAGAAGAAGGATTTTTGTAAAAAGAAATATAACTCATTCAAAACCCTGCACCAGACAAAATAATATCAACACTAAAGTTAGGTAAGTTTTTAGTATGTGAATATATTTATTTGCGTAACGATTCAGATTTTGCCATTCTTTAATCATATGCTAAAGGAAAGAAAATACAAAAAACAAATTCACGATATGATTGGTACAATGCAATCAAAGCATGCAAAAAAGGCCATTTAATGCAAGTTAAATGGCGCATAAAGTTTTCTTTTCCAACAAAACATTTAGAATATTCAGTTACTGAAAAAGTAGTAACCATTATTAACCTGAATAAAGTTGGAAATGCTCAAACTCCATTTTATGCAACTCAAATTTGACTGTAATGAGGATTTAGAATTTAAGTGAAAGTCTAAAGCAAGTCGACCACAAAATTCGAAGAAAGCAGGTCAACTTTTATTTTATTTCGTATACATTTGATTGTGTGCAAGTTAAAATTTTATTTTTGTATTTAATATTTGTATCTTTTTAAAATACTTGTGTTCATTTTATGAAAGGTATTTTTTAAAAAAATGAAACAATATACATTATGTCATAGCATTTCTTCAATATTTGTTTTATGGAGCATTCGATTTTGTACAATGAGCGGATTTTTTTCAAGTTAATTGCTTTCTACGATTCAATTGCAGATTTTTTCGATAGCCGTTATATGAACGCTACAATATTCCTTAGTTTAGCTACAGTTATGACATTGTTAAAGTTTCTTATATATAGCAAGATGTAATGAAATTGAAATTGGATGATCCGATATAATGGAATCGAAATGAAAAATGTGAAAATTGAATATAATCGAGCACCTCTTTATTGAAAATATAACTGAAACATGTGCCATCCCGATTGGGTTTGGACATTGATTCAAAAGAATTCGAAAATGTTGCGATACATTTAAGCGAATTCAAAAAGTATGAATTTTTCACTTTTGTCAACAGTTGTCAGATGACACTTCATCTCAATGCTCACATTTAATCTTCTTCCTTCCGTGAAGATAAATGTATTCTATATTTTGGTGTATCTAAAAACTACAAATTCTTGCAAATCATTGAAAATACTTCATATATATAGATATATATATATATCTTCGCTTATCTTCGCTAATTTCACTAACTGTTTACTTATTATACTTTTAAATCTAAAATCACATTCTGCTACACGCCGGTAAGTTTGGTTGCTTTTTACTTTTGTTTCATAAATTTTCAACTATATGTTTTTTGCGATATCGACACATATAAAGAATAATTTTTATCTTAGGATAATTATTCTTTATTCAGAAATATCGCATTTATAGCAATAGATGTGTCTTGATAACGACTATTTGCTTTTACCATTCTTGTTTCTCTA